ATATATATATGACCTCAATTTTGCTGAGACTGATCTCCAACATGTACTCTAAATGTCAACAAAAAAGCTCTGAACATTAACTATTTGGATACATTTTAGTTAATCTGGTGGCAAAATATCTCATGAACAACGAATTTGAACAAAACTTCCAAGGAATAATTGTTTTGTTTACTGTTTAGGCGTCAACCCAATTCAAGATGGCCACCACAGTAACTATCCACGGAAAACTCACAAATTGAACAAAATGTAAAGATAGTCTGCTAAAATTCAATAGCTGAGAGTCATTCACAACATGTACTTTGAGATCTCACAATAACACAAGGGTTTGTGCATAAACTGTGTTCAAGGTTTGACCAAAATGGCTACAACTTCCTCATTTCTCTAATTAATCTAAAACTCTAGAGTGAAAGGCGGTGGGCRAAATGCCAGGCCTTCGACTTTGAAAAGAAATTATTTTCATAAATTATTTCTTTAAGTCCATGTTGTTTTAATGCTTCCCTAAACATCAAAGCCAATATTCATACTGCACACTAAAATGACGCAATAAGTATAAAAAAAACCAACAGTCCCTCTGGGGACATTTGTTTTAGACTCAGTGCCGTCCCAATATTTGCTTTCACAAATGATCCCTAAATAAATAAGACTTGTAAAGCAAACTTACACAAAGCAAACATAATCTTCCAGTAGATTTTGCACAATTTCTATTTAAAACATTTACATAACTGTTAGCAAGGAAATAAAAGGGGGTATAAAAAAAGGTAATAGTATTGCAGAGCTGTATTCGAGGGTAAAACATACCATGAACATAGAGGATGTAGTCATCGTAGGCTTCTCCCACTACGTTCGAGGCCACGCAGCGATAGGTGCCGTTATATGACTTGTTCAGGTTGGCGATGTAGAGATCCGAGCCGGTGACCACAGCGTGAGGCGGCACGTCCTCCTCTACTCTCAGCCAATTGATCTGATGGGGACTTAGCACAAATACCAAACACATCACTCAGAGGCTGTCTGTCCAGGACAGAAATCTGAAATAAAGGTCACATCTAAGACTTGAAGAGGAGGGCCACGAGCAGGGCCCCGTCTAATGKTGTACAGCATGCTAACAGCTGGTTTAATGGAACAATGAAAGGTTAAGGGAGTGTTTGGCAGAAAACATGATATACAGTGGAGTTCTGAAGCTCGTTCATCTGAACGAATACTCACTGGGGTTTTCCTTCAGCGCTACACGTCAAATCTAGATTGTCTCCTTCTCTTGTTAAACCTTTGGGATTTGTCACCAAAATCTTCACTTCTGGTTTATCTAAAACAATCACAATATTAAAACAGATGAGTGGGGTAAAAAAAAAAACAGAATTTTTTTAAATTAATAACGGGAATCTAAAGTGAATCTGAAAAWAAAAGAAAGAAATGGTCACCTCAATTAAGGCTAAACAGCCACGAGTAAAATGTAAGACGATAACACTCTCAGTGCTCAGTGAACATTCAGTCAGTTTGCAGTACCTTACAGCAAAAAAAGGGTTTTTCTTTTCTCTTATCATTGCTTGCAAAAGATTATCAAAATGTCAAGCGATTTCAGTCAACCTTTCTCTTATTCCTTGAAAGGTCAAACAAAACAGCTATCTACCTGGGATAAAAAAAAGGAAATTAATATTCGGCACAGACTACAAAAGAGTGCCTTAACCTTTCTGTGATGTTTAACAGTGATAGGCAGCTTGTATTACCTCTTCAATCATTGCACCATTTAAGGACGTCGAAACATTTTTTGACGTCAGACAAAATTTGGTTTTCGCGTCACTATATGCTACGTCATAAGGGGACAAAACACAAATATTTAAATTGCATAAATCATGAACAAAAAGTGGAAAGAAATACACCAAAATACAGTGATAATGAGCAGTGTCGGTGTGTGTTCATTTGTCTGTACTGTTAGCAAAACATCAATATTTACTAACATTAATTGTACATTATTTTCCCACAAAATCCCTCTTCAGAAGACCTGAACTATTATTTTACTATTGTTGATGTTATGTTTTTGCATCTAAATGTATGTTGAAGTCGTGAGAACTTAGGATAAGTTGAAAAAAATGGTTTGTACTTTTCACCAAATAAAAAAAGCCTAAAATAATGGGTGAGTCAAAACTCTCAATACACCTATTTACTTCAGAAACAAAAAGGGAAAATGAATAGGTGAGGGGGCACCTTTCAAGATGGCAGCCATGTTCTGGACCTAGTCTAAATGATAGTTCCTCTTACCAAATATTTGCTGGTGGTATTCAGATATGTTGTTTTCTCTTTTCTGTCTGTAATATTAGAGCGTACTGAGACTTTTGATTCACCTCCATCACTGCTTTTTMCCAACACGTGCAATGCTTACAATCAAATTTGGGGACGCTCGGCCCAAATTTCTAAAATGTTGTGAAGTCGCTGACGACAATCATAGTACTGCCCCATCACTACTTTGTTTTTGTTTCCTGTTTACATTTGACTCCACGGGAAGATTAATTCATGATTACCACACAGAAGATTAGCATATATTACCAGAACTACAGCTGCAATCCATGTCAGGCTTTCATTGTAGATGAGGCAGGAAAATGTGGATCAGTTTCAGTGTGTCAGCCTAAAAATAGTCGATGCGGTGCAGATGTTTTGGTGTTTACTTGTCAAAACAAAAAAATCACTGCAAATATCAAGTAATTATGTAGCAGCATTTCATTGAAATAAAAGCCAAAATGCGTCTACAGCTGTGCCTTTCTCCTCCTGTCGGTCTTCTGGGAATAAAATAATATGCAGTGACTGAGTGAGTGGACAATCTGAGCATGCAGCTCAATAGTCTGAGATGTTTTTTTGCGCTCTGCTTTCCAAGTGGGACAAATATTCTCCCTATGACTAACAAAGGACGGTGTCTGTTATGGCTCTCTGGAGGCTGCGTTGCTTGTTTAGCTGTTTACCTTATTGATTTCGCCAGAAGTTTATCCACAATTTCTGTTTGCTCTCACCGTTCATGTAAATTGTGCAAAATCTAGTGTGTCTGCCAAGCAAGCCTGAGTGAAATACAGTTCCTGGCAATACCCACAAGGCTTTGGTTTGGTTCTGGCCCCAAAATGTCATAGTTCTGGGTCACTCACAAAGCACTTCCAAGTGTCTTTGAGCCAGGAGGTCCTTTACAGCTGGATGGTCAATGATGCAGTCCACTGGCACTCCATCATCCTCTTTGGTGACAGAAAACCTCACCCGGCTGGTGACAGTAAACATCCTGTCATACATCTCCTCTACTGTTGTCTCACCTATATAGATATATAAAAAAAGATAAAAAGAAAGTAAAGTTAACGTGTGAAAACTCCAAACTCTTGAGTTCCTCAGCAGCACCTGACGCAGTGGCTGTAATGGGCAAATAGTCATAGCTATTAAGAGCATATTACCTGTCAAAGTGCAGTACTTTCAGATGGCATTTACATTTAATTTATGACTCAGTGGTGTGGTRCCCGAACAAGACTTTAGAGGATTCAGACGAGCCCGAGGCCTTCGATTCTGACGAGAGCAGCGAGGAGCGGCTGGGTCATATCAAGCCCGATAATGAATGCTTCTGCTGCTCGAGGCTCCAGCATTGTTGGGGCTAACCCTGCAGTAATCTGCTGCCCACTAGGCCCAAGGCTGTCAGAGGGGCATTCATTTAGAGAGCATTACAATGCCAGAGGGGCATCGCATTAGCCGCAGTGCTGAGTGTGATGGTTTACTCGCACTTAATGAAGTGAGGAAATAATTACAGCCCAACACTGACCTGCAGCACACTTCCATTTCAGCCCRGTCACAGGGGAGCCCGGCCAGACTCGGGGAGGGCAAAACACCCTGTTCCACAGTTGATGATCACCAACACACACACATATGTGGCCCCTTGATGGATATTAACCCCGCGTAACATACACCCACCCGTGAAAGTCTTGCCTTCATAAAACTGAAAGTGCCGGGATCAGTGAGTGGTCATTGCACTTGTAGGCATTAAAATTTGACGACTTTGCCAACTGCAGTGAGGGACTGGGCTGCTGGAAAAGCATGCTTAGGAGTCTGGGTAATAACAGTAAATAAATTACTTTTATTTAAAAAAAAGAAAAACTATTATATTGACTTTTTTTTAAAATCATTACAGGTTGTAGTACATATATAGGACTGTACCCATAAAAATAATGTATTACTCATGTGGCTTTTTTCTGACAAGMGTAGCAACAACAGTGAATAATCATCTTACTTTGGTTACCACAGTGCTGGGAGYAATTTTTAACATGCCGCTTTGGAAAAAAGGAGGCAAAAATAAACTGAAATTTTCTGTTAAGAGCGTATTTGTCACCGTGCAGTAACAAGAGCAAATCATAATGCATCAGATCATATTCATGAGGTCAGTGAGGGCATTTCCAAATATATCTGCCAAAGAGCCAGGCGAGGTGGAGTGTGAAGGGGGCGTAGTTGTGATTAGCTTCTATTATTTGGGCCAGTAAGTCCTTAATTTAACTTGTAGTAACAATTATTTTTGGCGATGATTAAAATCCTGCCACGCGAGAAACTTCACAAAACTTCTGAATCCTGTTGTGAAGATCAGACTGGAAGACCCGAAGCCGCAGCCGATGCTCAAGCCAACCGGCGCTTGTCAATTATCGGTGTCATCTGAGTGAAGATGAGGAAGACAACTGTGGATCGGGTCACAAAAGGACTCAAATCTGAATGCGAAGGAGATTTTAGAGTTGCAGCCGAGATGTCAAATCAAACGCTCTTGTGAGCATCAAGCGCTGATCAATCCCGGCGCAATCAAGCGTGGCCTCTTCTCAGGGTGACATTTTCTTTCACTCAGCTTCTAACCCGAGTCCTCTGGCTGCCAACACACCGCTGAGCCGTCAGTGATCAAGCTGCTTCATGGTGGCTTATCCATGCATTGCTCCAGCACTAGTGAAACAGGCTAAAATAGTTTTAATAGAGATGTTAAATTCACCCCACCTACTCTATTACCATAGGAAATATACTTCTTTTTTTTATTAAATATTTGAGATAATTAAGTACATCCCACTCAAACCAAAATGGCTGTTTGTACTTCAAGTAATAATTATTCTAGATGTCACTTCCTCAAATTGTCCAACTTTAAACATTCCTCCAATTGCGGCCCACAAATGCAGCCTCCTTTTCCTTCGATTTAAAGGGCCAATATTATTTGTTTATTAGGCATTTATTTAAATACTATACCATAATAATGTTTTTATGTCACCTTTGGTTGTTATTAAAATGCTGTTTTTATGTTTAAATAGAAAATAAACTTATCTTCTCATCACTTCCTCTTCTAAACGCCTT